CATAAACGGAAGAGTGGAGAACCCTTCAAATAATTGATCAGAGCGACGTGCTGAGTCGATTTAGACATGTCCGCCTGTCTGTCCGTCGGTTGTTGTACAATATATGAAATTTTGCACACGTCCTTTCTCCCAAGATGCTGCTCATTTTCGAGTGCCGATATCGGTCCGAATCGGTTCCAAGTCACAGTATAGAAAGTTTTTTATTAATCAGATACTTTACAAATTTGGAATATATTATTTTCCAAGGCAACGTTCAATCTTCAAGCAAAATGTATAGACCGAAAACTATTGATTTAGCTGGTATATTATTATTTTCCCTTGTCTCTACCGGTCGTTAAAAGACCTTCAACCTATCTGCGAATATTTTTACGTCTCATTTTCTTAATACGTTTATGGTGGTATTATCTTTCAACTCAATCTATATTTGTAAACTATATATTGTATGTTCGACGTATCGTGATGTCATCTCTTGTGAGATAGAGACTTTTGTATCGATAATCATCTTATGTGAATGTGTAGGAATTCACCTGGATCTTGATAATATCTTTACCACTTAAGTTGAGTAGTGATGTACAACTAGGCGGGCAGAGCATTAGGAAAAGTATACAAGCTGGCTACCGTACAACTCTATAAATATTATTCGATTCATATTCAAACGACTACGCCTTTAATATCCGCAGCATCATAAGTCTTTCGGGTTTAATATAACTTGTAATCAATAGTTAGCTTACTGATTCACTCTCTTATATCACTTTCATTGCCTCGACTCGCAAATCTTTGCTTTGTAGATAGATGTTACTGTACTTTGATCTGAGCAAAGTTAGAAGTATGTATGGAGTAGAGTTAACATCAAAATTCTGACAATTATTACAAACCAAACACTGTGCCAATGTACAGATGGCAGAATAATTTGGATGTACCAACAGATCTTACAATATACACGCCTTGCACCACTCAAGATTATATATGTGTTTGCGTTTTTGCTCGAACAAAAGTACTTTTTCATCTTTGCGCAGCCATAAATTATGTGCTTTGCAAAATTTGGGCGATTCCTAATCTTGTCATATGCCTTATTCCACAAACAAAGAAAGAAAATAATCGTCATTATTAACTAGGATATTGCGCTACTAAAATTAAGAACTCTAATAGAGAAAATATTAGCTGTATAGTGTATATCTGTATGCGAGCCCTGTCAACCAGATGGTGTGCATGATATGCTAGTCGGGGTCCGAACAGAAGGTTCTTGTGAATATTCACTACTGAACATGGTGTAAAGTGCGGGATTTCGGATTCTTTCTAAATATTTCTGGATACCAAACAAATGGAGTATTTTTGAAAATTATAGCTAAAATCACGGAATCCTGAATCTTAAATTTGAATCCGTTATCAAAAATATCGGGATTTCATGTTGCATATCGTTTTAAATATTACTATAACATTATTTGCAAGTGCGATTCCTTATCTCATTCATACCATCACCCTATTTATCCGAAAGAAACCATTCAAGCAAAAGCTTAATACATTTATAAGTATGTTATATATATGTATGTATGTTTAAGGCTCGGAGTGAACATTGGGATGATGTACAGCAAGTAATCGTCTTATAGTGGCGTTTACACAAGTTGAAAACGTTTTAATTTGCGTGGTACACATTTGCTCACATCTTTGTTAAAATAATGCGAAATCATTACAAAGGTTGAAACACTTTGATTATTTTCTATAACTGTTTATGATATATATGATAGAATACATCGTTTATATGCATACGCACCGCTAAATAAAGAGTCCTTGCGTATGGCTTCTTCCCCGTCTTGCAGGTCACTAGTGGCAAAAGTGTACTGAATTGGAAAATGTACAGATGATGATTGCAAAATATGTATGTATGTATAAATATATATTTTTATATTTTTGCATACATCTACATACATACATATATGTTTGTAATTATTTTTGATATCGACTTACGTTTTCTGCACTCAGCAACTAAAATTGTATTTTCATATTTCACACAAACCACTTATATATTACTTATATATATGTACATATGTATATAAATATGTGCTTCATTACTTATTGGAACTTGAGTTTTCCAATTGTTTTTTTCCCCTCAAATGTCTTCGAAAGTAAGGTAAACGTTAAGTAAACTTCCTGCGCTATCTAACTCGCATATTATCTAACATTATATTATTTTTCACTTGGAGCTCGTCTACGAATATGCGTAGAATCTGAATACGAGGTTTACCTGTTCTAACTAAAATAAACAAATTGTCAAAAAGTCGACATTAGACTGACTACCTGAATTTTATGTCTGTTTATTTAGTGTGGTTTCACAAATGAACATAACAAGCTGTGCCAAAAAGCGAAAAGGACATATTTAAACGTACCGGTGTGACTGAGGGGACGACACTTTTTATTACTCATGAAATTTCTGATCTAAGCATTTGTGAATATGATAAATATTTCCAACATGAATTTAAAACCATGTTTTCCGAAACGCAAGGCCCACTGTCTACTATAATCAAAACGATTCAATTTCCCAGAATTAGAAATTAAATGGCACGTATCTATAACTTACGATAAAGTCTACATATATTTGATCCTTTTGACTATTTCGTTTTCGGCGAATAAGCCTAACTTTGAACCAAGTGAGTTGAGTAGATCAGCATTACTACTTAGAACTCTACTTGTCTATCTTAAATCTCTTAACAAAGATTCATCATTTAATAAATTGCAGCTAAAAATGTTTAAAGAAAATAACCGGAAGAATGTTAAATGAGCATATCTTTCTATTTATAACGACGAATCAAAAATCTTTAAGGACAAATTGGGAATTTTGAAAGTTCAGTGTGACTCCCAATAAAAGTGGAGAAACTTTTAGATATTGGAAATTTCCTGCTAAAGAACGATTGCTGTTAAAAAGTACTTTTTCTATTTGTTTAGATATAACTTTGACCTGAATTGGAACCCTGCATGTCGTATAATAATATTCTAGAAAAATTATTTAGTTTCTCGCTTTAATATCTCCAACCTTATATGCCTAAATTTAACTCTCCATATTTTAGATGTCCAAAACAAACGACACGTACCAGAATTTTATAGATTACGGAGAAAACTGTCAGATTATACCTATATATATATAAAACTTACGAGCATTCATATTCACAGTGCGTGTTTCACGGGCTAACTAACACAGTATTTTTATAGGTTATTGAAAAAAAATTATTTACCATATTATCTTGCTTTCCTTTCGCGTGAATGATATTTTCCGTACAGAGTACCCAATCTGCACCGAAGATGTAGCTATATGAGTATTAGTAGTCTTCCTAAAATACAACACGCACATAGGCGTTGAAAATTTGTCAAAAATGCCTAAACAAATTCCACATAGTAAAAACTACAACATTCTTGATAAGATTTAATGATTTGCCATTGCCCTCACCTGCCATAAAACAGAAAAGAAAAATGAAAAAAAAAAAACAACACTACATATATAAATTCAAATAAGGTTTCTTATACAACAACTAGCAAAAACCATGCGAAGGATCAAAACGAACAGGTAGGCCTCAAAACTACTTAGCATCTACTTTACTTTGCCTTAAGTATTTACTAAAGCAACGAGGGTATGATCGAGATAATAAGAAAATGTATAAGTATAGAAGATTAAACCAATACTTACTTACTTTCAGAGAAAAAATAAACAACAAAAGGTTAGTAAAATTGAAGGATCGTCGGTGCGGTAGTGATGAATATGTTGAAAGTGATGAATAATACCAATCACGTCACATCAACTCACCCAAAAACTTGTCTCTGTCACTGGAATAATCAGAGGAATTATAAAAAATGTTTTTTTTTTTGTGTGTTCTCTTTTCATTTAAGTAAAGAGGAACAAAAGTAAAAGAAGGTGTGTAAATGATGTACGTTGATCGGTTTGCTGAATGTACCCTATTGGAAATGGAGATTGATTCTGTATATTCAGGCACTGTGCAGAGGTCACAATCAAAATAATTTTTAAATAAAACGATGTGCTAAATTAACTTTTTTGAGGCGAGTTGGGTCTGACCGGAAGTTATTTTTAGATAGAGGTATAAATAAAGAAATAATAGCTGGGCTTTGAGAGCGAAATTAATTTCCTCGCTTAGAGCAGTTCATCAACGTTATATAAGATTTTAAACTTAAAAACACGGGGAAAATGTTAGAGATTTTGAACAGATCTTAAGCCGCAGTTACATTAACTTCTATGGAGGGATGAGTGGTATGTCATGTATAGAAACGAAAATTAGTAGACTACCTCCAGTATGGTTTGAAGTTTGTTGAAATGTATCGTTTAAGAATATCCTTCAAAAATATTTTAGTCTTATCCGTGGAATTCCATAAAGTTTCAGATTTTCAAATTGAAGTCGTTTTTTCCATGTAGGGATGTGTTAAGCAAATACAATACAACTGGGGTCAATATATTTTAGGAGAACTGATGGCGCGATTGTAAGTCGATATACATATATATATAAGTATTCCTGGTTGAACGTACTGAATTGCCAAGTATCGAAAACTGACACAGATTCTTATTACTTACGAGAAGAGTTTACAAGATAGATATAATATCTCTCTATCAATAATTTGCTTTCTTTCCAAATGAAGCCAAATTTCAGCGAAAAATTAACTGCATACGAATCTATTTAATTTCCTTGCAGGGTATATTGTCGTATTTACCTTTGCATTCGTATGCTAAAAGTGAGGGCGGCTGCATTAGGGATAGTCTGCATAAGTCCGAGCATGTAGGCAAGTGTTGCATTCATCTCATGTGTATGGGAGCTACATATCAGACAAGTAAGGATCAGAAAATATCACCACTACATATGCAGTTGGCAGAGAAGTGGAAATTCGTGTAATCACTTAACAAAAAATACATACTTACGAAAATCAGTTTCACAAAAAATAAAAAAAAACATTTTTTATTTGTCTTTACACACACACAACTTTAAATGTTTGCATGTATGCATGTTGGCTCATACTATATGCACAGTTGCTCGCTGTCAGTGGATTGATTGTTTGGTCACTATCAACTACTCATTGTATGGACTTGCCGGCCGACCCAAAGATCAAGTGAGTTTGTCAGCGCGACTAAAGCAGCAAATGGCTCTTTGTTGTTGGTTTTGCTTGTTAAAAGAACATTGTGCGTACATTAGTCTAGCAATTAAAAAAAAATATATATATAAATGAAAAATCTACTTTTGTTACCTTTTTCGTAGTTTTCTTATCGTCGCCGACAATTTTTCACATTCCTTCCTCGCTATTCACTCACTATTCGTCAAAATGATTGATTTTAAGGTGATGAATTATCATGGTATAGCATAAAACTAAACCAAAGCATGAAAGGTGAAATATTAAGAAACTGAAAATAAAAAAGAATAGAAGCCAAGAAAGCAAAAAACAAAATCATAATACGAAGCCAATCAATGTGCGACGTGTTCGTAAGAAAAAAGGTATGGCAGGCAACACTTAATGGAAAACAGCATCGACTGTTATCATTTCGGATATCTATTGTTTCAAATATCAATAAGTCCAAGCGCTTATTCCATAGAAAGGTTTTAGTAAATTAATGCGACGTCTGGGAATTAAGCTGCTTTTGTTCAGCCTAAATGATTGGAGAGTTTTAAGTAAAATAAAAAAGTGCTTAAAACCAGTAAGCCAGCCTTAGATCGTGTTCAACTGCATTTTTAGTTACATACATATGTACATATTGCATACGCTTCCTTCTTGTGTTGCGGATGGCTATGATCAATTACGCTATCACGCAGTGACTTCAAGCATATTTCGAAATCGCCACTATCTTTCTAAATTCATATTCTTCTCCATTAAAAACTAAAATATCAAGTGAACCGTATCGATAAAAAATATTTCCTAGATCATTAAGCCATTTTTAAGTTCCTACTATATTTGATCTCTATATGTCAGCTAATGTGTGTTTGGCAGTTGTTTGTTTACGACGACAAAATTTTATCGGACTCGTTAAAAATGTTGCAGAAGTGTTTTGAGGAGTCTATTTTGTCACGAACAAAAGTATTTGTGTGGCACAAAGTAACCCGTTAAAGTCATGATATCTTATGGATACTAGACTCACACGAAAAATTCAAAATCTTTTGCAAAAACTACATCGAGTAGAGGCCGCAAAAGAGATACTTAACAACGTAGCTGAGAACACTACAAGTATATTCATCAAACGCATCATTAATGGTGACGCGATGTGGGTTTATGAATATGACGTCGAAACTGTCCAATAATACACCGAATGGCGTGCCAAAAAAGAGCCGGAACCGAAAAAATAAAACAAAATTCGTTGAATTCACTGAAGGCACTGAAGGCAATCCCAGCTGAGGCTCGCTATGTTTCTTTATGCAAAATGATTTTCGTTTTACACTTTCTTTCACAATTTTTTATTTTTCCATTTTCTCATTTATTCATTACTCTCCAAACGGGGAGTTTATGATGCTTCAGGATCCGGATTGGACGGATTGGTTTCATTTTGGATGGCATCAGTAAAATAAAACCAAGCACAGGAACAATACAATTTAGTAAATTAATTTTCAGCTTCTTGATTTTTAGTAATAAAACCTTATTTAAAAGCTTCTCTTATTATAGTAAAATAAGATGTTTACGCTAATTTAAGCATGAACATATCTACATAGCAACAATACATATCTACATATAAGAAATATCTACATACTTGTATAAGAAATATACAAAAGTGGCGTAGAAAATCTATAAATCAATAAATATTTATAACACGCTACTCATATTTATATGTTAATATTAAAGCGATATGCTTCTAACTTAATTTTTTATTCTTGAAAATTTTCTAAAACATTCTGAAAGATTCCTTAAATATCATTTCAGCTAACCTGAATGTGTGACCGACATACATATGTATCTCAGGTGATCAGAACCAGCTTTCAAAAGCTTTCAATAGGAAAACTGGAAAAACTGTACCCGAAGTCGCCTATTGAACTGAATCAGTTTTCATGGAGACCTGAAAAATTAAAAAGAATATTTTATAATCAAAAATAATCGATAAGTGTAGCATACCAAATTACCCTTATGATGCTGTTATGCGCTTTTTATACTTACAAAGAACTTTTATTGCGTTACGAGTTTAAAATAAGTTCCCCCATACTAATAATTTCACACTAATTCTGTCGCATACAAATCAAGTCAAAGAAATTGCATTTCCTGAAGTTAATCGCTCCTTTCTTGTGTCTTATACTACTGATGCCATACAATATGGTAGAAGCAAATCCTAATCCTCTAGGAGTCAAGGGTGTCAACACCCCGTTTAAAGAGTGATGAAGAAATAAAAAAACTAATAATTTTTGCGCAGCAGAAGTCATTTGTTTTATTCAGTGATTATGACAGAAACGGAGAGAGAGAGACGTAATAAGGTGGACTAGAGGAATCATTTTTTAACACTAAAGTGTGTTGGAACAGAGTTTTATTCGGCGTAAAATGACATTTTTATCGGAAATCAATCAAATGAATTTGATAGAGTATTTTGAGTTTATTTCCGGTAACTTTTCTTTTTAGTTGAAAGACTTTTTCTCCTTAACTTGAAAGTACTTTCGAGACTACGGAATTAGGATGTTATTAGTTGCTGCTATATGATTTTTGAAACATTATTTATAATGGTGTTTTTTACACATAATATCTCATTTGAAAAATTATATCGGGACAGTGCAAAGTCTTCAACAAGTTTACCATAGCGTTCATTTTGAAATCTGCTGCGAATGATATTTAAAATGCATATGTGGATTACAATACATTGGCTTGCTTTACGAGTACTTATGTACAAATGGTGTCACAAGGGGAAATGTTTGGAGGCCGGGGTTATAAGGCAGCTGAGGCAAAACTTCCCAACCGCTGTTTTCCAATTATATTTTAACCAATCTTGCAATATGAGGCCATGTGTATAGTCGTGAATTCCAAATACAGGGCATTACCTTGGTGTCATAGATATTCGGCTTTGTCATTACTTTGGCTGGTTGACTAGGTGAAAGCCAATTAATAGATCCATTTTGCATCACCACTTACAATCTGGTGTAGAAACGGGTTTTTAACGTTCAAGCAGCATTTTTGACATGCAATATCGTCTTTCAACATATCTTGGCTTCAATTCATATGACACCCTATTTCATTGCTTTGAATCTATCCGGCTGCTTTTAAACGTTTTGAAATAGCAACTTGAGCCGTACCCAAAAATTCTGCGAGCACTTCTTGTGTTTGCCAATAATCTTCATCGAGCAATGTTTCCAGTACCTCATTTTCAAACTTTCATGCTCACCATTAGCTTCCACCAAAATACGATGGCTTCCGGCTGAGGTTTCAAAAGTATATTAAATATTTACATAAATAAGGTGAATAGTTTTGTGAAAATTTCATAGCAAATATACAATAGATAAATGTAAACTACAATATTTTTTATGTAATAAGTTTTGAGTACCTTTTGATTATTATGTATACTATATATTATAAATATCAAATAAGGAAGGAAGTAATAGGTGATCCACCGTAACTTCAACAAACTTTATTATTATTAAAAAAAGGCTGCTCTGTGTCTATACCAGCAACCAACCTTCAATTTCTTTAACCGATATTCACTCTAATTTAGAAGTCACGACTTTCACTTTCGTTTTAAATGTCACTTGTAATATCTTTTCTTATTTTATATGGTTATGAATATCAGTTCTTCAACAAGTTTTTCTATGGTGCGTAAAAATATCCTCGAGCTTTTGACTTACTTTCAGAACAAGTGTAGTTATAAACCTCGAAGCTGTTCGCTATGATACTTTACATAAAATAATTAGCAAGAGTAAGTCTAATAAGCGCATAACAACGTCATAACGGCAATTTGATATGCTACATTTATCGATTATTTTTAATTATAAAACATTCATATTATTGGAATATTTGATATTTAAGGAATCTTAAGGAATGTTTAAGGAAATTTTTAAGAATAAATAATTAAGTTAGAAGCATATCGCTTTAATATTAACATATAAATATGAGTAGCGTGTTATAAATATTTATTGATTTATAGATTTTCTACGCCTCTTTTGTATGATTCTTATGTGTATGTATTGTTGTTTTAAAAAGCAGTTTTTTATGCTTAAATTAGCGTGAAAATCATGTTGTACTATAAATAAGACAAACTTTTCAATAAAATTTCAGTTGACTTGAAATCAAGAAGCTAAAAATGAATTTCCTAAAGTGTATTGTTCCTTTGTTTGGCATATTTTTATTGATGTCATCCAACATGGTAGAAGCAAATCCTGATCCTGAAGCAGCCATGGATGTAACCGCCCCGTTTGGAGAGTGATGAATAAATGAAAAAATAAAAAATTGATATTTATTGCACAAAACAAGTCATTTGTTTCAGTTCAGTTGATAAGGAATTTGTTAAACGAAGGACATAGAACTTTTATTTTGTTGAGGGGGAACTTCTTACACTACTTATTTCATATGAATTCTGTCGCATACAAACCAAGTCGAAGAAAATGCATTTCCTAAAGTTAGTCGCTCCTTTGTTGGGTCTTATACTACTGATGTCATACAATATGGTAAAAGCAAATCATAATCCTCAAGGAGTCAAGGGTGTAAACACCCCATTTAAAAAGTAATGACGAAATAAAAAAATAAATAATTTTTGCGCAGCAGAAATCATTTGTTTTATTAAGTGATTATGAGAGAGAGGGGGAGAGAGAGGTAATACTTGTAAGGTGGACCACAAGAACCACTTCTTAACACATAAGTTTGTTGGAACAGAGTCTCATTCGGCGTAAAATAATTGTTTCTTCGGAAATCCATCAAATGAATTTAATAGAGTATTTTGTGTTTTTCAGTTTTCTATAATCGTGGTTTTACACATAAGAGGCCGTCCATATATTACGTCATTCTAAATTAGGGGGTGGGTTGGTCTGCGGATGACGGTCATTGTTATTTATTTATTTATAGTTTATTTTTCACGTTGTTTTATTTTGTCAAACTAGTAATGACGTCAATTTTGGCAGAAGGGGGGGGGGGCATTAAGAAATGACGATAGGATGATTATAGGGGGGGTCTAAAATCTGAAAAAATCGATGACGTAATTTTAAGTATTCATGCCTCACTTGGAAAATTGTATCGGGATAGTGCAAAGTCTCCGAAAAGTTCTTTGTAATAACAGTGATTTTGAATACAACTGCTGCGTATTTTATTTAAAATTATATATGAATAGCTTCGGCCTGCCTTACTTATCACCATGGCAAGGGCGTATGGAACATCACACGAAGCCTACAAAGCAAAGATGGTGATACTATTGGGCCAATAACTATATTTGTGCGGTTTTTTTCTTTAAGTTGGAACTTTTATTTAAGAAAAACATATGCAACGGTAATATTCAAAGTATTGGTCATCTGTAGCCTTAAAATTTTCTCATCTTTTTGGTTACTTTTGTATTTCATGTCAGCGTGATGAGCTGAGTCTATTTAGCCATGACCATCTGTACATCTGTATGTCTGCATATACGCCAACTAGTCCCTCAGTTTTTGAAATATCGATCTGAAAATTTTCCCACGTTCTTTTCTACCCAAGAAACTGCTCATTTGTTGGAACCGCCGATATCATACAAACTGATCGATCGGAGTCAAGTTCTTGTATGGAAAACTATTTATTTGAAAAGATATCTTAACGAAATTTGGCATGCATTATTATCCAAAACAACGATATAAACCCCGAAGCAATTGTTCAGATTGTATCAGTATAGCATAAAGCTTTCATACAAACAAAAGTTATTGAAAAGAAAACTTTTCTATTTGCGCAGGGTATTATAGCTTCGGTGAAACCGAAGTTAACGTTTCTTCTTGTTTTAAAAATTATTGGGTGCTCAGAACGTTCTTTTTTTTCAAGATCGCGCCATTTTCAAATCGCGCAACCCACTTTTGGCAAGTTTGCTCAGCTAAGGCATGCTTACCATTAGCTTCCACCAAAATACGATGGCTTCCGGCTGAGGTTTCAAAAGTATATTAAATATTTACATAAATAAGGTGAATTGTTTTGTGAAAATTTCATAGCAAATATACAATAGATAAATGTGATCGCAAAACTATTTTGTATGTAATTAGTTTTGAGTACCTTTTGATTATTATGTATAACATATATATATCAAATATGACACCGTAACTTCAACAAACTTTATTATTATTAGATATAGCAGAAAGCAACCTTCAATTTCTCTAACACATATTCACTCTAAGTTAGATGTCACGACTTTCACTTTCATTTTAAAAGTCACTTGTAACATCTTTTGTTATTTTATATGGTTATTAATATCAGTTCTTCAACAACTTTTCTATGGTGCGTAAAAATATCCTTGAGCCTCCGACTTACTTTCAGAACAAGTGTAGATTATAAACCTCGAAGGTGTTCGCTATGATACTTTACACAGAATAATTCCCGCTTTAGACCTTTGTTTAACAAATCCCTCATCAACTGAATAAAACAAATGACTTGTTTTGTACAATAAATATTATTTTTTTTTATTTTTTCATTTATTATTCACTCTCCAAACGGGGCGGTTACATCCATGGCTGCTTCAGGATCAGGATTTGCTTCTACCATGTTGGATGACATCAATAAAAACATGCCAAACAAAGGAACAATACACTTTAGGAAATTCATTTTTAGCTTCTTGTTTTGAAGTCAACTGAAATCTTATTGAAAAGCTTGTCTTATTTATAGTAAAACCAGATTTTTACGCTAATTTAAGCATAAAAACCTGACTTTTAAAACAACACTACATACACATAAGAATCATACAAAAGAGGCGTAAAAATTCTATTAATTAATAAATATCATACGCTACTAGTATTTATTTGTTAATATGGAAGCGATATGCTTCTAACTTAATTATTTATTCTTAAAAAATTCTTAAAGCATTCTGAAAGATTCCTTAAATATCAAATATTCTAATAATATCATTTCAGCTAACCTGGCTGTGTGACCGATATATGTATTTTAGGTGATCAAAACCAGCTTTCAAAAGCTTTCAGTGGGAAAACTAGGCCAAATTTTACCTAAAGTCCCTTTAGGAACTGAGTAAGTTTTCATGGAGACATGAAAAAATTAACAAGTAATGAAGTTCTAAGTTCGGGTGTAACTAAACATTTTTATCTCTCATTCCTTTATACTCTCGCAAAACATCTTTTATACTCTCTCAACATGTATCCATTTTAAATTCCATCTGATTCTTTCACTTCCACTATGCAAATCAAGCAACAATGATTGTTGCCTACAGTTGACTTTTACCGATAATATCGTCTATGTATAAGATATAACTATAACTAAAATTCATA